TGTTTTCAAGTAATACATTTAGCATCTGTGTTGTACTAGACGCCTGCTTTGGGGATTATGGGAGCAGGAGTGGACTGAAGCAGGCGATGAGAGAGAGAGTTCAGATGATTCAAAAATTCAGAAATTCATTGAAACGATAAGTAAATTTTTCATGAAACGTATTTCAAGAAACAGAATAATTACATGAAGAAAACTGACAACCAGTAACAGCAAGGAGCAGTGTGAATAAAAAAAAAGATTTATTGTAAATTCATTCTAGATGTATTCTGAATACATTACTTTTTATGTATCGTAATGCAATACGTTACTGAATACATTTAGGACAGTGTATTCAGTATTTGGCCATCCCTACTTACTCAAGCTATAATACTAAAAGTATTCTGCCCAACTCTGCTTATGATAACCATCAAAATTCACAAAGCAGCTTTGCAAAAACTGCTCCCCAACATGTCTATAATCAAAGTTCTAAAAATACTGCAGAAATAGATTAAACCAGGAGCCAGACTGATTGTAATAATACCTGTGCACTTCTGGGTTTGCACCATTTCTTTACAGAGTGACTATGACAGAGCAACAACTCTACTTATCCAAAAGTATCCAGACACCCCTTTTAATTAGTCAGCAGCCAGACTGATTGCAATAATACCTGTGCGCCTCTGGGTTTGCACCTTATTTCTTTATAGAGTGACTATGACAGAGCAACAACTCTACATGTCCAAAAGTATCCAGACACCCCTTCTGATTAGTCAGTTTACTTTAAAGTGCACCCATTGCTGACACAGTCATTTTAATTGCACACACGTAGCATGTATAATCTCCATAGAAAAGCACTGCCAATAGAATGGGATGCTCTGGAGCAGCCACACATGAGCCTAATAACACCATGCCCAATGCCAGGTGTCAGCCAGAGGGGTATATTTGGATTAGTGGAACTGCATTCTGGAGTGATGGAGCTCCATCCAATACCTTTGGGATGAACTGGAGACGCGTTTGTGATACACACCATCCATCATCAGTACCTGTCCTAATGCAATCAAACCCTCACAGCAATGTTCCAACATCTAGTGTAAAGCCAGTCCAGAAGAGTAACTGCTGTTTCTGCACAAACTCTCTCTTGATACCTTTGATTTCAGAAGAAATTTTGGGGCCTACACACTTCTGGACTTGTAGTGTGTGTGGCAGAAGTGCTCAGATTTGGTTTGCCAGGCTGAGAGAGGTAGAGGTAGTCGGGGGAAATTAGAATAGATGTGCTCATCACAGCACCTCCACTGCAGTAATGCCACACTCCTCTCCAGGCAATTAGTTAATTGTGTTTTAATGTTAAGCCCATAGCAACAGATGAGAGCACTCTCTTTTCTGCTGGGTTAATGTGATCAGAGAGAGAGAGAGAGAGAGAGAGAGAGAGAGAGAGAGAGAGAGAGAATAATAATACAACCAGGTAACTGAGGAAGCTGTAATAAACATAGACTAATTGTCTAATAAAATCTCGTGTCTTGTGTTGTACTAGAGACAGAGCGCTGGATCGTATGTCTGTATGTGTGGGCCAGAAAAATAAGCTGCTTTATTTTCACTCTCGCATTCAGCCTCTGCCTTTTTTCTCTTCTTTTATTGCCCTGATCAAGTATATGTGGGCGATTTGTGGTCTTCTTTTGCCTTTTCTTCCTTCCCCCAAAGCTCTCTGCTCTCTATCCTTCATCTGGTGTTTGATTCCCGCTCCACCTGCTTTTTCCTGCCTCGCCAAAGAGCACCTGACCGTCCTTCTATTAGTTTGAACGCCTTTTTCTCCTCCACTTAGGTTACACTTACAGTCATTCGTCGCTGCTAAAAGTGTAATAAGTGTGTTAGCATCGCTCGGGCCAAGTTTCCAGGGAAACGGAACAGAGAATCAACTCCATAGCTCAGCGTTTGTTTCTCCGTCTGTGTTTTTTTTTCTGCTCCTCCGCCATAAACTGTTTCAAGATTTTCATGCTAGAAACTCATCAGCACAAAACAACAACCTCTGTTTCTCTGCTATTCTCCAGCAGAAGAATCTCTTAAAGGAGAATTCCTCCATTCTTCTAAATTTCTCTATAAGCAAATGGTTAAGATGGAAACAAAGTCATTCAGAGTGGTTTTGGTGTAAAATGCTCAACTCTAGAGAAACTTACAGAGTCAGAATTGTTCACAGTGGTGATGATAGGAACCAGACGTCTGAAAAGTTTAACGCCTCTAAACTCCCTCAGAAAGGTATCACCTGAAATGGTTATGTATTCAATGCAGGATGCTCAAGATATTGTTCTGTTATAGTTTTGAGATATATTTTGGGGCTTCTATGTACTTTTTAAATACATTAATCGTGGAGGGATATGTGTGGGTGTTATAAGTTGAAGTAGTCCCCAATAAAACTTATTGTTTCTAGATTTTCCACTGTTTTAGCATTATCAACATTACATATAAACACTCCCGAGACACATGTAGGTCCACTGTTTGTTTTGTTAAGTAAATAAAATGTCTATATTTGTGTTGTAGATATTACAACCTCTGGTTTCTATCAGCACCACTGTAAAGAAATATGTAGGTTTCTCTAGAATGAACCCATCAAACCACCCTGAATGACTTTGTTTACATCTCAACGATTTAACTACACATACATTTTGAAAACATCAGTGGAATTCCCCTTTAATGCTAGTTAGCTCTTTCTGTTCACTGAAGACTAAAGTTAACTCATTCAGGTAAAAATATCCCCCACACACACACACATTTCTCTATAGGCTTCCATTTATACTGTACAAATATTAAATATAAGCACAACACTGGGACACTACAGCCCTCTTGTGTTTTAATTCCTCTTTACTTCACTTTGATTCCTGAAAAGCATCATTTTGAGCTGCCTCATTTTCCACAGCCATTGAATCGTTCATTGTTTTTAGGCTAAATGGTGCTACATATGAAACACTCAGAGCTAATGCTAATAGGCTAGGACAATGGTAATTGAATTTTTCAGTAACTCTTGCCAAGTTTCCATGGAAACAGAGCAGCAAATCAATTCCACAGCTCAGCACTTTTGTTTTTTATTAATTAACTCATTTATTTATTTATCTTTCTGTTATTTTAAAGGGCCCATATCATAGAAAACTGAATTATCTATTTTGTTCAAAATAAGAATTTGATATATAATCTTAACACTGTTGAAATCTATCAATGGTGGAGAGATACACGTAGGAATAAGTAAAGTTTCAGAACTCACTATTCACTTCCTGGTCTGTATACTAAGCATCAAAAGTAGCCCGTTGTTTTTATGCCACAACAAACGCAGTTAAATATATCCACCTATTCAGCCCACAACAGCCTTGCTCCGCCCATTCATATTGAATTAATAAGGACTGTTTCAGCCTGAACTTGCTCAATACAAGGCAGCGAATAAGAACACCGTCCATTTACATATGCCTATCTTAAAGGCACAGTAACAAAAACAACCTAATTCCAAATGTATCGATGGAGGGCGTTTTCACACCTGTTCCAAAATACTAAGTCCGCAACCAGGACCAATTCTCATTTGGGGGGGAGGGGCTCATTATCGCTGCTTTGCTTTCACACACAAGAATTCCATCCGAACCATAGGTTGATTGCAAAATTCCATATGTCAGTTTTCTGCTGCAAAATGGTAGATGCTAGCTTCATCTCTTCACTGCTTTTTATTTCTTTTCCTTGGATAGAAACACTCAAGCGACAAAAAACGGCACTTTTTGTCCACAACTTTCCCCACGCCCACAAAACTTGAAAAGAGAAGTATCTATCACATAAAGTCAAAGCAGAACGGCAGATAGCTGAGCTGGTTTATGAGGAGACTGGCCTCTTCCTATTTCCTCCATTATATCAAAAACAGGCCTGCAAAATGCCAGAGGGTGCCAGTGAGTCCTCAGTGAATGGGGATAAATGAGACTAAATGGCTAAAATAAAAAGTTAAAATAGTTTCTAATCATTTGCCCAGAACTTTCTTTTAATTTTAGAAAGCAGAAGCATGTATTTCACCAAAAAAAATATATTTCCTTTTTTTCTACAGCAAACAGGTTTTGGGCAGCAGGATGCTAGCATTACTGCTACTGAGTGCTGATTGGTTGTTGAGCGGAGCAGCTCATTGGCTGTTTGCTCTCACTGACGTCATGAACATACTTGCTCTGGAGCGCCCTCTAGCGTTTGAGAAACCCGGAAGACGTTACAGAGTGATATTTCTCCTCTCTACAAGTTCTCTGTGAATAGCTTCCACATGTGCAGCGGACCACACCAGAGCGGACCCACCGATTTCCGGAGGACCAACAGCTTTCACACCTGACCAAAGTACCAGACTTACAGACTAAGCGGTCCTGGGTCTGGAAACAGCTCTAGAGTGAAAACACAAACAGAGACTGTAAAATTACTTGTTGCTGTTTTTGGCGCACAATTCCTCATAAACGTCAAAGTGGACCTAATGGGGGGATAAATGCAGGATGTGGGCCCTTGCGTGGCTGACCAATTGGGAGCAGACGCGCCGCGTTGCTTAGCAATGCCAATTAAAGCATATGATTATGCTAATTAGCAGGGAGTAGAAGCCTCCTCGCGCCTGTCCTCTGACATCCAGCAGCGCAGGAGGTTTCTGCTGAGGAACCAACAACAAAGACACAAACAAACCAAGAAAAATAACACAAAAATAAAACTGTTCTAACGCTTTTCTGTCATCCAGGTTATTAAATCAACCAGACTCATTTGAGCTGATGAAGTTTTTAACTGATGAGTCCAGTCCAAGTCCAGTCACCTTAACGCGCTACTGCTGGACACAAAGAAACCCGGCTGTAAACGCACAAGCAGAGCTGTAATCCAGACTGGGGATGCCTCGCGATTCTGGAGACGCGCGCGCGGAGCCAGCGCGCCCTTCCATTGGCTGAATTAAGTAAACACGGTTGTGTCTGGGGGGTGGGGGCGGCTGAGATAAAAAGCCGGGAACAGGCGCCCTTCCACGGCATTTAGTATCTGCCTTGGTCCGGAGGAGCAGCAGTCTCTTTAAAGTCGGCTAAAAGCTCCACATTTGCATCGCATGGACAGAAGGGCGAGTGGAGAGCTGTGATCTGCCCGCTCTGCAGCGCCTGGACTCGGCTACACCGCACAGTAAGTTCCGGAACTGCTCAACAGGTGCTCGAGCGCAGCGCCGCTTTCAGCAGTTTGAACGGGTTATTATAGCGTCTTATAGAATAACAATAAACTCACAGTGAGGTGAACTTACAGCACTGCTGAGCCAAAACTTTTAGAAGAAGCAGAAAGAATAATTACTGGGACGATTAAAAGGGATTTACGGTCGTATCGCTTTTTGTTTGTATGTTTTTCTTCCCAACAGCGTCGTATTTTATATACGTCGTATATCATTTGTTTGCTTGTTTGTTTGTTTTGGCTGTGCCAGAAGTAACCGTTTTCATATGGTAGCAAAACATCAAAAATGTTTTTAACTCTTGTTTTGGTTCTAAGCGCTATATTATTTACTTCTTTGTTTATTTATTTGTTTATTTGTTTGTTTGTTTTGGGTTTGCCGTGAGTAACCGCGTTTATATGGTAGCAGTACACGCCTGACTTCTCTCTCTCTCTCTCTGTTTGCCATTTGGGAAACAGCCAATGTTGATGTGTGAGTGTCCAGGAAACATCAGACATATTTACATATCTATCAATTTTTGTATATTGTGTATATATAAATATATGTTGTGTGTGTGTGTATATACTTATCTTTATATAGATTCAGATAGGATGTGGTTTGGAATAAGCTGTTTGCTGAGTGAATGGATAAGTACTTAAAAAATATGGTTCTTCAAGGGTTCTTTAGTAAAGGTTCTATATAGAACCGTTTCATGCATGATGAAATGCTTCTTCAGGTTGATAGAAAATTTGTTGTATATGGTTCTAGATGGCATCAAAAAGGGTTCTGCTATTGTTATAAGCTTGACATTGTGACAATAGCAGAACCCTGTTTGGTTCTATATAGAGCCATTTTCCATAAGTTTCTGTATAGAACCATACACAACACATTCTCCACCAATCTGAAGAACCATTTCACCATGCAAACAACCCTTTAAGCATGAAAAAAGTTCTATATAGAACCATTTCCTTTACTAAAGAGCCCTAGAGGAACCACCTTTTTTAAGTGAGTAGTTGTGGTGATCACTACATCGCTTCTCCTAGCATCCGTAGCAGAGTAACATTTGGCATCTGGACATTGAACATAAACACCACAATGATGTTGAATAAAAAAGAAAGGAAGTGCAAGTTTCTTCTGTGGGCTGAATTAATGTTTGAGTAATGTGTAGAAAGTATTTGAGTAGAGAAAAAAAGTTAATTTCAGCAGATCTAGGCAGGTTCTGAAAGTCCAGACTGTGGAGGAGGATGTCAGTGGAGACATTTCAATGTCTGTATAGAAAGATCAGAATGCTTTAAATTGCTGCTATTGTGCTGAGAAACCTGCCTTCTTCATTATATAATATTGTATTATATTAGATACTGATAAATAAACATGCGTACCCCATTCGTCCTGGTAGGTGAGAATGAGTAAAGACATCAGCCTTCATTTTGTAGCCTGGCAGATAATGTTATACCTCACATACCGTCACTATTGTTAAAAAAGTTGAAACACAGATGCATTGCAACAAGTGCCTTTGATATTTCTGAGAATTGCATCAGAGGAGTTTTCAAAATTCACATTTGAATTCATCTAATTTTCACAAGATGCCAGACTTGACAGCATAACACAGGGTTGTAGGTGTTTGGGAGATAGCTTGTTTTAGTGTATAACAACTGACTCTGCTGTTGTGCTATTTGGAATTGCAGTCACTTGCTATATTGTATTAGTTATTCTATGCACGTCTATATAGAGGCTGCTCTTCTGGACTCTGCATTCTAAGTAGTATAGAAGGTGAATAGATGGATAATGTGTCAGTGTTGGCAATGAAAGGGCATAATGATCTGATGCAGTGTTTCCAAGCCTGGTACTGGAGAGCCCCTGGCTTGTATATGACCTGTATGTTGCTTTAAAAAAAATATGAATATTGACCTATTACAAATCTGTGACAAAAACAGAGGAATTACAAAGAAAATTCAGTAACTACTAAGAGAAAAAAAATACAAATTGACACAAATCCACACTAAAAGACAGGGCAGAATAAATTTATAGAAGTTACTAAATAATAAGTAATCGGCTTGTTAGTGTTTGAGCAACAAAAGCGTCCAAATATTCACAGCATGGGCACTCCAGGATCGAGATTTTAAAGTCACCATAGTAGGTATGAAGTTCTGTAATTAAACTTCAGTCTTGTTTCATGCACAGGTTTTGGCTCCTCACAATTGAGAGGAATGTGGCTTCTGGAGAAGATCCGCGGCTCAGTGGAGGGTAACGTACTCCGAGGGGGTGAGGCTGCGGACAAGCAAGCCAAGGCACCCACCCACAGCAATGTGCTCACGCCTGACAAGATCCCTGACTTTTTCATCCCGCCCAAGCTGGTGTGCTGCCCCCCGGAGGCTGACACGCCCGAGATGAAGCCCAAGAATGGGCTCCACTCGTCCACCTCCGAGCAGACCATCTGCCGCAAGACGCCCCAGAGTGGCTCACGCAGCCCCCGGCTCATCTGCAAGCTGGCTGGGGACACTAAGAACCTGCTTAAGGCTGCCAACCGCCACATCATCCAGATTGAGAGCGCCGATGACTTGGCTGTAGGAGAAGTGGGCGACTTGACTACCAACGCTGACCCACAGTCCCAGACGGCCATGTCCCTGCCCTATGTACCCAAAGCACAAACCTCATATGGGTTTGCTACACTCATGGAAAGCCCCCACACTCGTCGCAAGGAATCCCTCTTCCACAGTGACCCCACCAGCCCCTTAACCTCACCTAACTCTCAGCGCAAGACACAATCAGGCAACCGCCTTGACCCAGGAGACTGCAGCGCCTCGCACCCCAATCCATACCGCTACTTCAGTGGTGGCGAGAGCGACACCTGTTCATCAGCCGAATCTTCACCTTTCAACTCACCCTTGCTGTCCCGCTCAGCCTCCTTGCTCAAGATGTTTACCCACGAGACACAGGCCAAAGTGTCCCGGGCGAAGCGGACATTCGCTCGCCACTCATCACTGTCTACAGATGAGTGCAGCTCAGTGGAGACCAGCCCCAACATCCAGCGCCGCTTTCGCTGCCCTCCTTCACCAGCTGCAGGTGGCCGCAGGGCAGGTGGGAGCAATGTGGAGCGCCTCACCCAGCACACGGTGGTCCTGCACAAGGGTGGTACGCTGCGCCTCTGCACGGACTACGACACAGAAGCAGCACGACTGAGGGTACGTGTGCTGGCCGCTGAAGACCTCTACGATAAGCAGGTGGATGTCAAGAGCATCAACTGCTGCGTGGCACTTTACCTGAACCCTGGCAAGCTTCAGAAACAGCGTAGCAACATCATCAAGAACAGCCGCAACCCTGTCTTCAACGAGGACTTCTTCTTTGACTCTTTGCCTGCCTCTCAGGTGAAGGACCTGGCCATCAAGATGAAAGTGGTAAACAAAGGCACCAGCCTGAAAAGGGACACCCTGCTTGGCGAGAGAGAGGTTCCCCTGAAGGAGCTGCTCACAGGATTCTAGTATGAACCAGCCTTTCCAAGCACAAATGGAGTTATGAAATAACAGAAGTTGGGGGAAGACTATGCCTGAAACTCCTCCTCCTTTTTATCTAACTTCCTACATGCACAGACTTTTCAGTTAATTAGGTACACCTAAGCTTGTATCTAGAGTCACTGGCCATGTTATGAGATACCCCTACTGTATCGATGCACTTTATAGGTACATAGTTACTGACTGTAGCCCCTCTGTGGCTGCACAATTAATCAGTTACACTCTACCCTGTGGAAATGGAAAGGGATCCCCATTGGACCATGTCGACCAGATATTACTTGTGTGGTGAACCAATCTCAGCACACCGACATGGTACCAACATGGTGGCATAATAGTGGATGGAAGTGGAGTAGCCAGAATTATATTTTAGCAAGGTCCTGGTCACATGTTGTGGGTTGGCACCAATGGTCCCAGAGCCATTGCAGAGACATTGCTAAAATGAGGTTGACATCTCAAGCCTACTTCACTGTAGCTAAGTCATTAGAAAAGTACCCCTATTAAAGAATGAAAAAATAAAATTTTACACGCAACACGATTGACTAATTTCACATTTACAGTTACTATAACAACTGACAGCGAGTACTGACTAAGTAACCAGGAGCATACCTTTTACAGCACTATGCGTAGGTGTCTAGGGTGAATTGTTGAAGATTGTGATTTTCTTTTACAGTTTTCACAGCTATTTAAATCAGTAGTAGCCTACACCAGGAACGAGCACAGCACAGCTAAGTTCCTACAATCTGCAAAGAAGGCCAAGCAGGTCAATGCTGTGTTTATATGTTGCCGTTTTATTGTGAGATGCAAGACTTTGGCATCTTGGGGATCATCCTTGCTTCCAGTTGAGGGCCCTCAAGACGCCCCATAGAAACACCCTTGATGGATGTGTAGGATGACTGATAAATTGAGCAGCAACAGATGGGCTACAGTCTGTAATTGTGTACCTACAAAGTGCATCTATATAGGTGTTTCTAAGAACATGGCCAATGAGTGTAGTAGTCCAACCTAATGACCTGGAAGCTATTCCAGGATATTCCATCTCGACTTTCTGATTCCTATAACAAATCAGAAGCTAGAGATGGAATATGCCCCATCTACCCAAATCCTTCCCAAAAGTAAATTCTAAAATATCTGTCAGTCCTGTCTTTCAGATCGTCAAGTGGGGCATCCAGCCTTTTAGTGTAAATCAGAATTATACAGATAACTGCATATTGAAGGAGTGGAACTTTGTAGAAAGTTGTAGTACAGTAGGCTTGGAGTGGGATCCTGGGTACGCAAATTGTTTAGTGTTTTTTTTTTTCCTTCCTGCTGCAAGAGGTCACCTATCCAGTTTGAGGACAGAGCGCGCTGACAGGAAGAATTTAGTGTGTGTGTGTGTGTGTGTGTGTGTGTGTGCGCGCGCGCAACTGTGCAGGGTGTGTGTCAATGTTTGAACGCCTTTGTAAATAGGACTTGCAACCATAAGTGTGCTTTCATAAGCGTGTGTGTATGTGAGTTTCCTCTGTTTCTCGTCTCGGGTTTCTGTGTTTAAGGAGCTCCTCTGGATCACTATGGATACTCACATCTGTCGACAAGTCTGTACAGCTGATACAGACGCTCTGTACCCTGCACATGTACAAAAAGGCTTTGAAGTGCCGTAACAACAGATCCAAATGCATGCTTTATCCTTGGGTTGAAATACTAAACTTGTAAGAGAGACAAAGACTGCATTTTTGGTATCACTGTACTGCCAGATGTTCCCTGTTAGTCTTTTCTTGGACCTTATCACTAGAGCATGCGAGTGATCATGGTATTGAATTGTTCCTGCTTTTAGGATTCGGGTTCTTTGTTGATCGTGCTAATTCCGACTACTTCAGCCGAGTATTTTTACGGAACGAAATCACCCTCCAGCCTTATGAATGACAAACTGCACATATTGACTGATGACTATACAGTATGGACATCTATTAACATCAGGACTTGTAAGCTATTGCTGTAAATACTGAGCTGGTTATGGTGTACATTTGTATGTTGGAACTTCGGTGGACCTATACTTGAGTATTTGTACAATGTTTTGGCATGTTTGTTGGAATTTGTATGTAGGCATATCTGCACGGATAATTGCATACTATATTTTTTTCTTTCGTTCCTTTTTTCTTACCAGATGTTGATCATATTAGCAGTAAGTGAACAGTTATTGGTTAAAACTGTATACATTAGAGCACACATCTATATTACTGTTTTATGCAATTGCATTTCTTTGTCCATAACAAAAGATTTCAATATAGCAGGTTTTAACATCATATGTCATAACAGCACTGGTATAATGGGCCAACAATGGCTAGGACTCCTTGTAGAGCCTCTTATTTCTCATTGATTCGGAAACATCTTCAGTGAGAGCCTTGAGAGCTCTTTAATCAAATTAGCGCTCGAGTGTCTCTACAGTGGGACATTGAGGAAAGCTAAAGCCGCTATTGGCTTAATCCATGGTCTATCAGTAGTTAATGGCATGTCAGTGCTGCTCTTTGTTTGCTTTGGTTAATGCTTGATAACTTGTAGGAGGTATATCAGGATGGGATTCCTGGACCATAGCCTGATTTTGGCTTGTTGTAGTTTACAAGAGAGGGAACTATTAAGCAGGATTGGTAAGAGATACTAAGCAGGCTGCTCACTTTGTAAAATGACTTTGTAAAGTGCTGGATCCATATGCTAAAAACTGTTACTTTTGGTTTAGCATGATCGATAACACTGCTGCCCTTCAACCAGGGCTCAATTCAGGACAAGCACACCATGGTATAGTAACAAGAGTCCTTGTGCAAGACTCCTAGCACTACATTCACTTACCTCTGTAACATGAGGTAAATTATAAGTCATTCTGGGAAAGCACATTTGCCAAATGTATAAATGTAAATGCATTGCACTCTTGGTGCCAAAAAGGGTTCTCTGGAGTGGTACCATAAAAGAAGAACCACTTTTGATTCCGAGTAGAAGTTTCAATTGATAATTCTTTAAAGAACCATTTTTGTCAGAGTTGTTCTAGTGTGAAGAACCTTTTTAAAGCTTAACGTAAAGGCCTTACACCAATTAATGGGTTTTCCTAGAACCTTAAATCCAACTAGTAACCTTTGAGGATCTATTATATTTAAGAGTGTACGAGGTACGCTTGTCAAATAACAAAAACAGCATTTCAAACGAGAGTGACTGAGTCACCCTCCTTGTTACTCAAGTCAGGACCTGCAGGGTCCAGACCATTTAAAATCCATTTCCAGCACTCTCTGCCAGAAACAATTCTTAGTACATAGATGGGCTGAGTTATGTATTTCTAGCTCTATTTTGAGCACTCATTCAAAGCATTCAAATTGCAGGTATTAGATTTCTTATTAGCTCTGTTAAAAGAGCAGAAACTCCCATTCTCCTACGAACAGGGAAAGTGCAATTACACAGAAGGGGAAATTACTTTTTATGACTTGTGATTGGCAGAAATCCCTCAAATTAAAAGGCTGAAAGAAGGGCCTGCATACACGGAAAGTGAAAGAACTCAAAGCGGGGGCGTTAGATTGATATTCATTTCAATATCCATGTTTCCGTAGAAGAGATTAAAGCGTCTTGCACTTGTGTTCGGAATTAATGAAATATGAAGTGCCTATCCATTGAACTTGATGCCTGTCCTTTCGTCCGTCACGAGGTAGGCCTACGTGTGCGACCCTTCTCCTCCCTATTGCATGTGTCCGTACGCATTATCCATGATACCTTCACTCTAGTGGAAATAGATGTTTGGTAAGATTGTTCCTGTGAGTTCTACTGTGTGGGTGTTTCTATATTTTCCTGACATTGAAGGTAGATATTACTGGTTTTGACTGGTTGCGTTCGTCATTGTGGCCTTTTATTGTTTATTTCACCCTGCAAAGATTCCAGCAGTGACTTCATTCTTTGAAGCTTTTTGCCCCCTCCTTTTTGCTCCCAATTTTATATTGATCCTCCAAACCCAAAGTGAAACATGGTATTGACTCGTCTATTTTTGGTGCCTAGTTCAATAAAAGTTGTGTAGATGGTGTGATTTTCCTTGCTGTTTTTTTTCCCTCTAAATATTCTGAGGAGGCCTCTGCATTCTCAGATATAGAAAGATCTTTCTACATTTGACCTTTACAGTGAGCACAGCTTTATTATGAAGTCCTGGTTTGCTTTGCACATAAGCACTTAACATGCCCGTCATAAAAATGAATTAGAGTTCCTTTTTATGGCCATTATCTACAGGCTGCTTGGTTCATGTAGTCATACCTGGCTAAACTAAGATAAGTAAACAGTATGAAATTTGGTGGAAAGTCTGTGCTTGCTACTGTTAGTTTGTAAGACCAGCGAAATCATGGCCACTAGAGAACATTCGCACTTATTGTGAGATGACAAGCCACACTTTTCCCCACTAAGTGAAACTTTTAAAGCTGAGTAGCAAGCAGCACTCCACTGGGATTAAAATGTAAATGGTGAGTGCTGTGAATTAATGCGCCTATTCATTTCAGCAGCTGCTGGCTCACAGCTAATGAAACAAAAGTCTACAAGCTGACATGTTGGTACTAGAGCACTGATATCACTGTGACATGGATCAAAACACCAAAGCTACTTCTATGAGCTCTCATAAGACTATTGGTCCCCCTGGAATAAATACAGAACTTCAATGTGTTTTTGGACATAAGTGAGACATCAGTGGTTATGTGGGTGTTTTATTCCAAATAGCGATGGTAAAACCATAAGTGGCTAATAAGAAAAGCTGCCAACACATATTTCTAGCTCAATTTAAACTGTGATAAAAGTGATAAAACAGTCAGTATTTCTGAGTTTAATTTTACAGTGAGTAAAGTTGGTAAAATAAGTGTCGTTAAGCCTCCTCAGCTACTGCTTGTGACAGATGGAGGCTAGTTGCTAATTGCAGGTCCACACGTAAACAATCTATCAAGACACATTAAAGTAACAACAGGCCAGGCTGAAAATTGGTCCCATTCACCCCAACAGCAGCCAGATATTATGACAAGCTTGTGTTTCCTTACCCTGTCAGTTATCTAGCATGCTAAGCATTCAAATGACAAGCAAAGATGTACCTTGACTGAGCTAGCTTTGCGACTAGCCAAGCTAGCAAGGAAACAACTGGGTTGATACTACAGACCTAATACCAGCTAAGTCAGTTAGCGTGTTTAGATGTACCTAATAATTTGATCATTATCGGGTTTCAGCAGTTATCTGATTATTCTGATTATTAAGTGGTCATGTAAACAGCATACTCCGATTTCTTAGATCGGATTAAGGCCAAGAAATGTTATTAAGAAATCTGATAAAGAGAGATGGATTTTAGCTCAGTAATCAGGTTTTTCAGTGTGTGTATATGCTTACTCTGATTTCTTTCACTTTTCTCAGTCTGTGTATGTGCGAAAACAGAGTGCTATACTGGAAATAGCAAGCAGCGTTTAACACAGCACCCGTGAGATGGATACAAAACACTTTTGGAGCGATTATAAACCAACTTCATACTTGACAAAATGAAGGGTTTAAATATTGTTTACCGTCTAGATGACTTATATTCATATTTTCTGCAAAAGTGACAAGATATTTTAAAAAAAGACAGCATGA